ACAATGACAGTAAATGTTGGTCTGAGATAGTGTATTAGTCCCCTGACTATGACAGTAAGAGTTGGTCTAAGATAGTGTATTAGTCCCCTGACAATGACAGTAAGAGTTGGTCTGAGATAGTGTATAAGGCCCCTGACAATGACAGTAAGAGTTGGTCTGAGATAGTGTATTAGGCTCCTGACAATGACAGTAAGTGTTGGTCTGAGTTGTGTATTAGTCCCCTGACAATGACAGTAAGTGTTGAACTGAGATAGTGTAGTAGTCCCCTGACAATGACAGTAAGTGTCAGTCTTGGACAGTGTATTAGGCTCCTGACAATGACAGTAAGTGTTGGTCTGAGATAGTGTATTAGTCCCCTGACAATGACAGTAAGTGTTGTTCTGAGATAGTGTATAAGGCCCCTGACAATGACAGTAAGAGTTGGTCTGAGATAGTGTATTAGGCTCCTGACAATGACAGTAAGTGTTGGTCTGAGTTTTGTATTAGTCCCTTGACAATGACAGTAAGAGTTGGACTGAGATAGTGTATTAGGCTCCTGACAATGACAGTAAGAGTTGGTCTGAGATAGTATATTAGGCTCCTGACAATGACAGTAAGAGTTGGTCTGAGATAGTGTATTAGGCTCCTGACAATGACAGTAAGAGTTGGACTGAGATGGTGTATTAGTCCCCTGACAATGACAGTAAGTGTCAGTCTTTGACGGTGTATTAGGCTCCTGACAATGACTGTAAGTGTTGGTCTGAGATAGTGTATTAGTCCCCTGACAATGACCGTAAGTGTTGGTCTGAGATAGTGTATTACTCCCCTGACAATGACAGTAAGTGTTGGTCTGAGATAATGTATTAGACCCTGACAATGACAATAAGTGTTGGTCTGAGATAGTTTATTAGGCCCCTGACAATGACAGTAAGTGTTGGTCTGAGATAATGTATTACTCCCCTGACAATGACAGTAAGTGTTGGTCTGAGATAATGTATTAGACTCTGACAATGACAATAAGTGTTGGTCTGAGATAGTTTATTAGGCCCCTGACAATGACAGTAAGTGTTGGTCTGAGATAATGCATTAGACTCTGACAATGACAATAAGTGTTGGTCTGAGATAGTTTATTAGACACTGACAATGACATGTTTGCTGTCATTTTTTATTTAAAAATACATGGCCCCATAAGATTGTGTAAACTGCTGAAAAAGCTGTAATGTAACAATTGTCCTGAAATCAGTATACACTATATAAATAGGCTTTAGATCATTAAATCTGTGAATAATGTATCCACATGTTTCTGATTTGTCAGATACTTCAGGAAGTGGACAGTATGAAGAAAACACATCTCAACAAAATACCTCGAGAGGAATGACATTACAAGAGGCTCGAGCTCGATACAGAGCAAATGTTCAACAAGAGGACACACAGACTCAAGGAGACTTTGAAGCTCCACAGTGGGACACAGACAAAGGTCGAAGGTCGAACACAGGTATGTTAACTAAGGTCAAACATAGGTACAGTTGACTAAAGTAAAAAAAAGGTACAGTTAGCTAAGATCAAACATAGGTACAGTTAACTCAGGTCAAACAAAGGTACAGTTAACTAAGGTCAAACATAGGTACAGTTATCTAATGTCAAACATAGGTACAGTTAACTAAGGTCAAACATAGGTACAGTTAACTAATGTCAAACATAGGTACAGTTTACTAAGGTCAAACATAGATACAGTTTACTAAGGTCAAACATAAGTACAGTTAACTAAGGTCAAACATAGGTACAGTTAACTAAGGCCAAACATAGGTACAGTTTACTAAGGTCAAGCAAAGGTACAGTTAACTAAGGTCAAACATAGGTACAATTATCTAAGGTCAAACATAGGTACAGTTTACTAAGGTCAAACATAGGTACAGTTTACTAAGGTTAAACAAAGGTACAGTTAACTAAGGTCAAACAAAGGTACAGTTAACTAAGGTGAAACAAAGGTACAGTTACATAAGGTCAAACATAGGTACAGTTAACTAAGGTCAAAGAAAGGTACAGCTTACTAAGGTCAAACATAGGTACAGATATCTAAGGTCAAACAAAGGTACAGTTAACTAAGGTCAAACAAAGGTACAGTTGACTAAGGTCAAACATAGGTACAGTTATCTAAGGTCAAACAAAGGTACAGTTACATAAGGTTAAACATAGGTACAGTTATCTAAGGTCAAAGAAAGGTACAGTTAACTAAGGTCAAACAAAGGTACAGTTGACTAAGGTCAAACATAGGTACAGTTAACTAAGGTCAAAAATACGTACAGTTGACTAAGGTCAAACAAAGGTACAGTTGACTACGGTCAAACATAGGTACAGTTATCTAAGGTTAAACAAAGGTACAGTTACATCAGGTCAAACATAGGTACAGTTATCTAAGGTCAAAGAAAGGTACAGTTAACTAAGGTCAAACAAAGGTACAGTTGACTAATGTCAAACATAGGTACAGTTATCTAAGGTCAAACAAAGGTACAGTTACATAAGGTCAAACATAGGTACAGTTTACTGAGGTCAAACATAGGTACAGTTTACTAAGGTCAAACATAGGTACAGTTGACTAAGGTCAAACATAGGTACAGTTAACTAAGGTCAAACATAGGTACAGTTGACTAAGGTCAAACAAAGGTACAGTTGACTAAGGTCAAACAAAAGGTACAGTTAACTAAGGTCAAACATAGGTACAATTATCTAAGGTCAAACATAGGTACAGTTAACCAAGGTCAAACATAGGTACAGTTAACCAAGGTCAAACATAGGTAGTTATTTAAGTTAACACATAGGTACAATTATCTAAGGTCAAACAAAGGTACAGTTATCTAAGGTCAAACATAGGTACGGTTAACTAATGTCAAACATAGATACAGTTAACTAAGGTCAAACATAGGTACAGTTTACTAAGGTCAAACATAGGTAGTTATTTAAGTTAACACATAGGTACAGTTTACTAAGGCCAAACATAGGTACAGTTGACTGAGGTAAAACACAGGTACAGTTAACTAAGGTCAAACTTATATACAGTTAACTAAGGTCAAACATAGGAACAGCTTACTAAGGTCAAACATAGGTAGTTACTTAAGTTAACACATAGGTACAGTTTACTAAGGCCAAACATAGGTACAGTTGACTGAGGTAAAACAAAGGTACAGTTATCTAAGGGCAAACGTATATACAGTTAACTAAGGTCAAACATAGGTACATTTTACTAAGGTCAAACATAGGTACAGTTAACCAAGGTCAAACATAGGGAGTTATTTAAGTTAACACATAGGTACAGTTTACTAAGGTCAAACATAGGTACAGTTAACTAAGGTCAAGCATAGGTACAGTTAACTAAGGTCAAACATAGGTACAGCTAACTAAGGTCAAACATAGGTACAGTTGACTGAGGAAAAACAAAGGTACAGTTAACTAAGGTCAAACTTATATACAGTTAACTAAGGTCAAACATAGGTACAGCTAACTAAGGTCAAACATAGGTACAGTTGACTGAGGTAAAACAAAGGTACAGTTAACTAAGGTCAAACTTATATACAGTTAACTAAGGTCAAACATAGGTACAGCTTACTAAGGTCAAACATAGGTAGTTATTTAAGTTAACACATAGGTACAGTTTACTAAGGTCAAACATAGGTACAGTTGACTGAGGTAAAACAAAGGTACAGTTATCTAAGGTCAAACGTATATACAGTTAACTAAGGTCAAACATAGGTACAGCTAACTAAGGTCAAAGAAAGGTACAGCTTACTAAGGTCAAACATAGGTACAGTTGACGTAGGTTAATCTGACCACGGTGTTGTTTTTTCCTACAGGGTGTCAGATTAGACAAGTTAATTTGTCCATGGTGTTGTTTCCTACAGGGTGTCAGGTTAGACAAGTTAATCTGACCATGTTGTTGTTTCCTACTGGGTGTCAAATTAGACCAGTCAATTTGACCAATATGTTGTGTCCTTAAAGATGTCAGATTAGACAGGTTAAACTGAACATGGTGTTATTTCTTATTATAAGGTTTCAGTTATTACGTTAAAATTTTCATGTTATATATTTTACTGTGGTATGTTTTATATTCTACTGTAATGTTATATATTGTAATGTTATATATTGTAATCTTATATATGCTACTGTAATATTATATACTGTAATGTTATATATTGTAATGTTATATATTGTTATGTTATATATTCTACTGTAATGTTATGTATTTTAATGTTATATATTCTACTGTAATGTTATACATTGTAATGTTATATACTGTAATGTTATATACTGTAATAATGTATATTGTAATCTTATATATTCTACTGTAATGTTATATACTGTAATGTTATATATTGTTATGTTATATATTGTAATCTTATATATGCTACTGTAATGTTATATACTGTAATGTAATGTATTGTAATGTTATGTGTTGTAATCTTATATATTCTACTGTAATGTTATATATTGTAATGTTATATATTGTAATCTTATATATGCTACTGTAATGTTATATACTGTAATGTTATATATTGTAATGTTATGTATTCTTCTGTAATGTTGTATATTGGAATGTTATATATTGTAATGTTATATTATATACTGTAATGTTATATATTGTAATGTTATATATTGTAATCTTATATATTCTACTGTAATATTATATACCGTAATGTTGTATATTGTAATGTTATATATTGTAATCTTATATATTCTACTGTAATGTTATATGCTGTAATGTTATATATTGTAATGTTATATACTGTAATGTTATACATTGTAATGTTATATACTGTAATGTTATATATTGTAATGTTATACATTGTATTGTTATATATTCTACTGTAATGTTATATATTGTAATGTTAAATATTGTAATGTTATATATACTGTAATGTTATATATTGTAATGTTATATATTCTACTGTAAGGTTATGTATTTTAATGTTTAATATTCTACTGTTATACACTGAACCCTGTTAGTCTTTAGTAAGTTTTTGTGTTACTGTTTTGTAGGGAAGAACCAGTATGGTGATAATTGGGATACCAGTGATTGATGAAGACGCCCTCCTTAGAGAAGAAAATCATTTGGTTCAATTCCTGTTTCTGTTTTAGTGGCATGATTGAAAATAAAACAAGATAAATATTACCTGTATTATGTTCTTGTGAAATCTGCATATTTCTATTTTATCATCATTTCATATTTTAGAATCATTATTTCATAAAAATTACTTGAATCCAACACTATATCAAAGTTATGGTTTAAAAATTGTATTTAATAATAAATTCAAATGATTTCTGCTTACATGCTAGATAACCTTCTGTCACAATTTACGTTGTCAAACTGCTTGTATGTATTCTGTCTTTGCGTATTGCAGAGTTATCTGCTCTTGTGAGCAGGTATTGATTGTTGCGTCATTAGTTTGTGTGAGAAAATTACGTCGTTTTCTCAAAAATTGATGAAGTTACTCTCACAAACAAATGACCTAACAATCAATACCTGCTCACAAGAGCAGATAACTCTGCAATACGAAAAGACGGAATATCATTGTCAATTTTTAAGAAGAGGATGTTCAAGAATATGATAGAATGTTGTAAATCCAATTACATGTATTCCACTTACTGAGTATATAGAGTCACAATGCGATTGTAACCTTGATAACAAGGAACTAAGTTTGCATTATATCTTGGTTAAGTAACAAGATGAGCCGGTGATAAAATGTTATTGATAAGGATTCTGGTGAAATTTCGGAATCCAATACAAACGAGGCAAAGGTCCGTATCCTTATCATTAATGGGTATTCAGAAAGATTGTAATGGAGAAGCGTTATTAGCTAGTATTTCGACTTTCGAACAATTGGAAAATGAATGAGTAGGGTTACCTTGGTTATCAAGCTTGCTTAGTGCTAGCCTACCTCCAACTCACAGGGACCTGAAAGATTGTCGCAGCTACATTTCGGTAAAAATGTCGCCCCAATGATGTTATAGATTATAGGAGTCGTGTGGTGGCATTTTTTCCGAAATTTGATCTAAACCCTCAACACATGTAACATTACTATTATTTATGAATGACTCCTTATTTTGAGTATAGCCTCGGAAGACGAGACAGTTTCACTTCGAGGGGGATCCTCTGAACTTTTGACATTTCGAGTTGTTACCATGAACTTGTTCACCGTTGGTTGTGGTAATACGGTTGTTTAATGTCAGCTTGAAAGTTGTATTCCCCTTTATGTTACAAGGTCTGTTCGAATGGGGGGAAAAAAAGATTTTCCTTATTTTGTACTAAACAAATACAAAATATCCTAGATATGATATAATCTTTTATTCAAGTGAAAACACATATTCAATTTTTCAAATTTATGAATTTATGCTACTAAAAATAAAAACTTGACAAAAATATGTGTAGCAGCCTAAGGCTACTGGTTGATTGAAAATAAAACACAAATTCTGCAAACATAGTTTAGTTTTACTTCCAATGTACAAATAATCAGTAAAATTTAATTCAAACTGTTGAATAGAAAAGTTTGTTGACTGTTGAACAGTCAGGATGATTTCAAGTGAACTATGCACTGAAATAATCTAGGACTGGATATCGACAAATATTCAGGTTAATTCTGGAAACATCTTCGATACTCCGGGGGTTACCTCTCTTATCTCTCTGCACAGAGCATACGATATGCATTTTTGTGTATCGGAAAGGATTCTGTTCTAATTATTAAAATCTTTCTTGTAGTCTGTTTCCTCTCTGTATGACTGTCATGTATTAGATGACCAGTTCTAGCTCGCCTTGTACTAAAACTATGTGGGTTTATATTTATGGTGTAATGTCAGTGTCCATCTGTCAAGGGTAATTATAGCCCATAGTTATTTTTATTCAATACTTTTCAATACCAGCTTGATATTCACAACAAACAACAGTATTTTGTATTTTCCGTTTATTTATAACAAAATACTAAAAAAAAATATGTTTTTGAATCCAAAGTTACTATTTTCGTCTCTTGATTGCTAGAAAGACTATATTTAGCAACATCAATAATCAACAATAAATATAATACTCCTTCCAAACAATGAAGCACAAGTATTGTTATCTTGAAATTTTGCAATTAGCTAGACTATTATACAGTAAATTTTGGATGACTAGACTGTTTGGTCGCTAACTTATTGTTGATTTAACGGCACATACTTAAATTAGCAAAGGTTTAAATAAAATGTCTACCTTTATGATGTTTATCATCATACACCGTTCATATACTGACAAATATACACGTGCTCAAAGTCATCAACCAATCATGATTGAATAATATATTCAAACTGTCTACACGTGCTTAAAGTCATCAACCAATCATGATTGAATAATATATTCAAACTGTCTACACGTGCTTAAATTCTCCTTCAAGGATGTAGGTATACGGAACAAGTCTTTTACACGTACTCGACGTCCTTCATCAAGTCTCGTGCAGTGAATGTACACGTTACAAATACGCACGTGGTTGAAGTCCGCCATTGGTGTGGGAACCTCCCTGCAGAGTTTATGCATACGAAACAAGTCTATCCTTACACCTGCTTTAAGTTCCCCATCAATGGTAATTGTATGTCCCGTTTTTATATAAGTCTGCTTGTGCTAAAGTCATCCATCAAAGATGACTGCATTTAAACAAGTCTTTTTACACGTAATGACGCCCTTCATCAAGATTGAATGTTTACATAAAATGTAACAAGTCTACAGGAACTGGAAAATCTCCCTCAATGGTGAATGATTAACTAACAAATCTGAACGAGCTCCAAATCGTGGAAGAATGAATGTATACGAAACTAAGGTGGCATACCTACGAAACAACTCTTTCCGTGGTTAATGTACACGTAACGAAATACGCATGCTCACGATCGAAGTCCTCTATATACACAAACAAGGAAGGTTCAGAGTTCCCCATCTAGTTGCTCGTGAATGCATTACATGAAGTCGACCCGCAATGAATGTATATGAAAGAATGTACACATGCTCCAATTCTTCGATTTTTGAGAAGAAAGTCTACGCACGCTGTATATAATGATATATAGACGAGCTTGAGGTCCTTCATTATGTATGTATACCTAACAAATAAAAGCATGCTTGAAGTTATCCACATGTAAAGGTTAACAACAAGTTTATAGTCGAATTTTAACTTCAGCTACACGTGTTCAACATTCTCCTTCTCCAGTATGAAGTATGCATGATAAGGTTCGTCCCCTGTGGATGGTTGCCTTGGTTTTGGTGTCGGCTGGGGCGTGCTGACCTGCGACCCTGGCACACTTCGTCGCTTTGGTGAGGCGGCGTCCTCGTCTGGAGAAATGTAGTCAGCGTCGTCATCTGTTTCGGTCGGTCGAAGGGTTGTGTACGAAACCGTCCCGTCTTTGGAATCCTGTAGTACGGTATAGCCACCCGTAGCCTCCTCGAGGACCGGAGCACTGTCCTTCCGGATCTGGGGAGTAAGGTAGCCATGGTGATCCACAGGAACCGTCCCGTTAGGGGGAGCTGATGGTAGGGGTCGGTCCCCCTCTGGCTCAAGGTGACCATTCATCTCCGGATTTCGAAATGAATGCATCTTAAAATGTAACAAATGCATTATAAAATTATATGAATTAACTGATACTTCATTGTGTAAGGTCGTTATAACGTTGTCGATAAGGGGAAAAAATGTAATTTAAAATTCACCTTTACTGCTTATAACGTTTGTTGACTATCGAAAGCTATCATTAGCAAACAGGACCGAGAAACAAGTTAAGATAGTTTTTTTCAAACATTCATCGATATTTTTTTCGTTCGGCACAGATTGTAGATTTGTTTATTTTACCAGACACCAACAACTACTTACGGAACGCTCGTCAATTTCTGCATACACGTCTGAGTGCTTTCTGTGGACGCGCTCAAACTCCATGTCCTTGTAGCGAGAAGATTCACGTTTATCATTCACGTCATTGTCCCGGGAAGTCTTCTTTGATTGGCTGAAAGTAGGCATCAGAAGGTTACCGTTTAATTGCCATTCATCGTAAAAAAATCAAATTCGTGTCATCGGATTGGTATACTTGGATGTTTGGTCGTCACTTCGGTCGTGTAAGGAGGGACACGTACACGTCCAGGAACCACCTTTTCCCGGGCATAATGTTATTATTGGGACCCCTAAAACACAGACTGGATAAATGAACAATCTGTATTATTTAATGGTTGTTGGAGAGTAGCCCGAGTTTCCTCTGGCCCTAACACCAGACCAGAGGACAAGCAGATTAGGTATGTCTTGATTAACGAGGTTCGACTTTATTGAAGTGGGTGCAACCTTACGGCCTTGATAATTTGTTACAGCTATTTATATATTTGGACTTAAACTGAAGTGTTCAGATTATGTTTTACACGTTTTATGGGTTTAGATCAATTTTCGGTAAAAATGCCACCTCCAGGCTCTAATGATGATATGTAAATAATCTAAACCCCCAAACGAGCAAAATCACTCTGAACACCTCAGTTTAGGTCCGAATATAGCTGTGACAAATTCTCATGTTCCTGTGGCTGCAACAGGCTTCAGGAAATATCGCAACTAACATTTTTTTCACAACTTCTTGTTTCCAACAAGGAAAGCGTTAAGTTAAGAAGAGAACATTTTGAAAACCGAACTTGGTCAGGTCTGACCTTCAATTTCCCCAAAGCTGAGAAAACCAAGTAAAAAGTTCCCAATTATGCGAGAGACCAGAAACTAACCGTCTAATAAACATCATACAATTTTACATTAATCTGAAAGGTTCTGTACGTCTGGAAAGGATAGTTATCTATACATAATGTACCATGGACACTCTAAGCATAACTTACCCTCTGTTTGGCTTTCTCCGTTTCATGAAGAGGACAATAAGAAGGAGAACCCCTACAAGGATGAAACCACCAACACTAGCGCCAATGATAGCAGCATTTATGTGGGTACCGCCGCCACCAGACCCACTCTGACCTTCACCCCGTGCTGGTAGAGTTGTCGTCTCCTGTCCTGCAAAGCCAATGTCAAAGTAAGTGCAATTGTGTACTCTTAGACTAATTCAAAGTTGGTTACAAGACACGTGTTGAATTCGATAAAGTGTGTTTGGGAAATAAGACATATTCATAAGAAATTATATGAAATCTTAGTATATCTTTAATTCTTATCATTTTCATTTTCAATCTTTAACGTAGGTCGCAATGTATTATTACAATTTATCACATGCCTATGCAATCTTACGATAGTAATACTCCATTTTGTCAGGTGTGTTTTCTGTCTGCTTGTATCACACGTGCGATACAAGATCCTGTATCACCACAGTAGCCGGAACTACCCGGGGAATTCCCTCTACTGACACCGCTAAAAATAGCCTGGTATTTGTATTAAACATAAACTTCCAAATATCGTCACAGTCGCGTACAACATCACATTCATCACCTCCAACGAAATACCAACGAATACTGCCAATTGTTGACTCAGATGATGAAGATTTTATCTAGATTTCTTGTGTTTTCCGACCTTGGCGTGTGACGTCACTCAGACTCAGCGCGTGCTGTGACGTTGCGAGACTTTGGGAGAATTTGCAATGACCGACATTTAAACTTACATGAATACACATAACTTTCTGCCATTAAATGTGTTGCATTTTAATTATTCTTTGTTATTTTGTATTTAACCATTAATATTTAAAATGTTGTACACCCAAAGGTACAATTCAGTCTCAAAAAGTCTCTTATCATTCACAGGTCCTGTGAACCATGCAATGACTTTTTTTAAAGCCATGCAATGATTTTTTTTAAGAATTTGTTTTCTATATCTCAGAATTATCAAAACAACACATTAATTATACAAAGAATGTATTAAATAAAAATAAAAGAAATACATTATCATAAAAAAAACCAAGAGAATGCCGTTTTTTTTAATAAAACACAAGTTTCTTATAAAAAAAAACTGGCATTGCGTCGACCTGTGTGATGATGGAAAACGACAAAAAGAGGAAAAACATAAAATGTGCATTTAGTCATATCAGATAAAATTCCTAATTACCAAGGCTACAATAGGGTTAAGTCATGTGATAAAAGCAAAACCACACATATGTGTTGATCTGAGTATTCGGATCGCACTCGTTTGTGGCGCGGAGGGAATATATCACTCGTGCGAAGCGCACTCGTGATATATTCCTCCGCCACCACAAACTCATGCGATCCGAATACTCAGATCAACACATATGTGTGGTATTGCCTATTTATTATACCTCTACTGTATTTACCCAGTATAAAAGTAATTAGTTAAATCGAATATATCCTCACTTTTGCCTGTATGTGTTTTAGTCCTGTGTGTTAGTCTGAGAACTAAAACACACCTACACTCGGGTGTTTCCGCCGAGCCAATCAGGCGGAGCTTGTTACCGAACTAGGAAGCGACGCGCGCCTCGGGAAATAGACCTGGTCTCGGGACACCAGAACCTTGCTATATCTGTCAACCCCATACTTTAACTGTATAATAACTTACCGGTATTGATGCACTTTGGGTCGAAAAATTTAGTAATTGCGGAAAGTTGTGGTTTGAATTTGGCATTGATGTCCTTGGCTGTATTTCGGCACTGCTTCTGTTTGAGGGTCGTACTCAGACAGGTCAGGGAGGTCTGGACGTGGCTGAAATGTCAATGTTAAACGTTAGTATCACGTATTCGAGTTACCTCCCCTTATCTCACCCAGAACGATAACGATTAGTTGCTGTCTCACGAGCAGGGCATCAATGAAAAACTTACGGCTTCTAATGGTGTTTTAAACATAAATATATATTTATTTACCGTTATTTATTTATTTTTGCACGAATTTGTCTTATCTTCCTCCTGATATTTGTATTTGTTGACCCAGACCACTTCGATATCATAATGAGCATTTTTTTGTGGGGGTTTTTTTGTGAATATTCTCTTAATTTTGTAATAATTGTATAAACATGTTCTTTATTGTGTAGAGGTATTTCCTATGTTACACACGTGGTTCGTTTAAAAAATGTTTTAAACATATATGTTAAGGTTTTACTACATAATGCTGTTATCATACATACATAAGTTTGGCCTTAGTTTAAATTCTATTGTATTGTCAATATGTTGAAGTAATACAAATTATAAATATAAACAAGGATTCGAAATCAAGTAATAAAGGCTATGTTTGTTTTGAGTACAAACAGGACTTGGAAACTCGTTTTGCGAGCTTTCGAAAAAGTCTGTTTTCTTTGTCAAGCCAAGAATGTACTTGGTACTTATATTAGTTCGTCTCCTTACACTCAATCATTAGTCAGTCTAAGTACGGCATTGACTTCTGGTGCAATAATACTTGGGGAAAAATAGCAGGGATGCAAGAGAGTTAGAAAAGAGAAGTGGCTGTAAGGAGCGAATAAAGCCCATGTGTGATCGCTACGCCGTTGGGATGTACAAGTTGAATGTATTGTACAGTAGTAATGCTCATGAGGAGCCTGTCATGTGTGGGGTCTGTCATGTGTGATGGCTACGCCGTTGGGATGTACAAGTTGAATGTATTGTACAGTAGTAATGCTCATGAGGAGCCTGTCATGTGTGGGGTCTGTCATGTGTGATGGCTACGCCGTTGGGATGTACAAGTTGAATGTATTGTACAGTAGTAATGCTCATGAGGAGCCTGTCATGTGTGGGGTCTGTCATGTGTGATGGCTACGCCGTTGGGATGTACAAGTTGAATGTATTGTACAGTAGTAATGCTCATGAGGAGCCTGTCATGTGTGGGGTCTGTCATGTGTGATGGCTACGCCGTTGGGATGTACAAGTTGAATGTATTGTACAGTAGTAATGCTCATGAGGAGCCTGTCATGTGTGGGGTCTGTCATGTGTGATGGCTACGCCGTTGGGATGTACAAGTTGAATGTATTGTACAGTAGTAATGCTCATGAGGAGCCTGTCATGTGTGGGGTCTGTCATGTGTGATGGCTACGCCGTTGGGATGTACAAGTTGAATGTATTGTACAGTAGTAATGCTCATGAGGAGCCTGTCATGTGTGGGGTCTGTCATGTGTGATGGCTACGCCGTTGGGATGTACAAGTTGAATGTATTGTACAGTAGTAATGCTCATGAGGAGCCTGTCATGTGTGGGGTCTGTCATGTGTGATGGCTACGCCGTTGGGATGTACAAGTTGAATGTATTGTACAGTAGTAATGCTCATGAGGAGCCTGTCATGTGTGGGGTCTGTCATGTGTGATGGCTACGCCGTTGGGATGTACAAGTTGAATGTATTGTACAGTAGTAATGCTCATGAGGAGCCTGTCATGTGTGGGGTCTGTCATGTGTGATGGCTACGCCGTTGGGATGTACAAGTTGAATGTATTGTACAGTAGTAATGCTCATGAGGAGCCTGTCATGTGTGGGGTCTGTCATGTGTGATGGCTACGCCGTTGGGATGTACAAGTTGAATGTATTGTACAGTAGTAATGCTCATGAGGAGCCTGTCATGTGTGGGGTCTGTCATGTGTGATGGCTACGCCGTTGGGATGTACAAGTTGAATGTATTGTACAGTAGTAATGCTCATGAGGAGCCTGTCATGTGTGGGGTCTGTCATGTGTGATGGCTACGCCGTTGGGATGTACAAGTTGAATGTATTGTACAGTAGTAATGCTCATGAGGAGCCTGTCATGTGTGGGGTCTGTCATGTGTGATGGCTACGCCGTTGGGATGTACAAGTTGAATGTATTGTACAGTAGTAATGCTCATGAGGAGCCTGTCATGTGTGGGGTCTGTCATGTGTGATGGCTACGCCGTTGGGATGTACAAGTTGAATGTATTGTACAGTAGTAATGCTCATGAGGAGCCTGTCATGTGTGGGGTCTGTCATGTGTGATGGCTACGCCGTTGGGATGTACAAGTTGAATGTATTGTACAGTAGTAATGCTCATGAGGAGCCTGTCATGTGTGGGGTCTGTCATGTGTGATGGCTACGCCGTTGGGATGTACAAGTTGAATGTATTGTACAGTAGTAATGCTCATGAGGAGCCTGTCATGTGTGGGGTCTGTCATGTGTGATGGCTACGCCGTTGGGATGTACAAGTTGAATGTATTGTACAGTAGTAATGCTCATGAGGAGCCTGTCATGTGTGGGGTCTGTCATGTGTGATGGCTACGCCGTTGGGATGTACAAGTTGAATGTATTGTACAGTAGTAATGCTCATGAGGAGCCTGTCATGTGTGGGGTCTGTCATGTGTGATGGCTACGCCGTTGGGATGTACAAGTTGAATGTATTGTACAGTAGTAATGCTCATGAGGAGCCTGTCATGTGTGGGGTCTGTCATGTGTGATGGCTACGCCGTTGGGATGTACAAGTTGAATGTATTGTACAGTAGTAATGCTCATGAGGAGCCTGTCATGTGTGGGGTCTGTCATGTGTGATGGCTACGCCGTTGGGATGTACAAGTTGAATGTATTGTACAGTAGTAATGCTCATGAGGAGCCTGTCATGTGTGGGGTCTGTCATGTGTGATGGCTACGCCGTTGGGATGTACAAGTTGAATGTATTGTACAGTAGTAATGCTCATGAGGAGCCTGTCATGTGTGGGGTCTGTCATGTGTGATGGCTACGCCGTTGGGATGTACAAGTTGAATGTATTGTACAGTAGTAATGCTCATGAGGAGCCTGTCATGTGTGGGGTCTGTCATGTGTGATGGCTACGCCGTTGGGATGTACAAGTTGAATGTATTGTACAGTAGTAATGCTCATGAGGAGCCTGTCATGTGTGGGGTCTGTCATGTGTGATGGCTACGCCGTTGGGATGTACAAGTTGAATGTATTGTACAGTAGTAATGCTCATGAGGAGCCTGTCATGTGTGGGGTCTGTCATGTGTGATGGCTACGCCGTTGGGATGTACAAGTTGAATGTATTGTACAGTAGTAATGCTCATGAGGAGCCTGTCATGTGTGGGGTCTGTCATGTGTGATGGCTACGCCGTTGGGATGTACAAGTTGAATGTATTGTACAGTAGTAATGCTCATGAGGAGCCTGTCATGTGTGGGGTCTGTCATGTGTGATGGCTACGCCGTTGGGATGTACAAGTTGAATGTATTGTACAGTAGTAATGCTCATGAGGAGCCTGTCATGTGTGGGGTCTGTCATGTGTGATGGCTACGCCGTTGGGATGTACAAGTTGAATGTATTGTACAGTAGTAATGCTCATGAGGAGCCTGTCATGTGTGGGGTCTGTCATGTGTGATGGCTACGCCGTTGGGATGTACAAGTTGAATGTATTGTACAGTAGTAATGCTCATGAGGAGCCTGTCATGTGTGGGGTCTGTCATGTGTGATGGCTACGCCGTTGGGATGTACAAGTTGAATGTATTGTACAGTAGTAATGCTCATGAGGAGCCTGTCATGTGTGGGGTCTGTCATGTGTGATGGCTACGCCGTTGGGATGTACAAGTTGAATGTATTGTACAGTAGTAATGCTCATGAGGAGCCTGTCATGTGTGGGGTCTGTCATGTGTGATGGCTACGCCGTTGGGATGTACAAGTTGAATGTATTGTACAGTAGTAATGCTCATGAGGAGCCTGTCATGTGTGGGGTCTGTCATGTGTGATGGCTACGCCGTTGGGATGTACAAGTTGAATGTATTGTACAGTAGTAATGCTCATGAGGAGCCTGTCATGTGTGGGGTCTGTCATGTGTGATGGCTACGCCGTTGGGATGTACAAGTTGAATGTATTGTACAGTAGTAATGCTCATGAGGAGCCTGTCATGTGTGGGGTCTGTCATGTGTGATGGCTACGCCGTTGGGATGTACAAGTTGAATGTATTGTACAGTAGTAATGCTCATGAGGAGCCTGTCATGTGTGGGGTCTGTCATGTGTGATGGCTACGCCGTTGGGATGTACAAGTTGAATGTATTGTACAGTAGTAATGCTCATGAGGAGCCTGTCATGTGTGGGGTCTGTCATGTGTGATGGCTACGCCGTTGGGATGTACAAGTTGAATGTATTGTACAGTAGTAATGCTCATGAGGAGCCTGTCATGTGTGGGGTCTGTCATGTGTGATGGCTACGCCGTTGGGATGTACAAGTTGAATGTATTGTACAGTAGTAATGCTCATGAGGAGCCTGTCATGTGTGGGGTCTGTCATGTGTGATGGCTACGCCGTTGGGATGTACAAGTTGAATGTATTGTACAGTAGTAATGCTCATGAGGAGCCTGTCATGTGTGGGGTCTGTCATGTGTGATGGCTACGCCGTTGGGATGTACAAGTTGAATGTATTGTACAGTAGTAATGCTCATGAGGAGCCTGTCATGTGTGGGGTCTGTCATGTGTGATGGCTACGCCGTTGGGATGTACAAGTTGAATGTATTGTACAGTAGTAATGCTCATGAGGAGCCTGTCATGTGTGGGGTCTGTCATGTGTGATGGCTACGCCGTTGGGATGTACAAGTTGAATGTATTGTACAGTAGTAATGCTCATGAGGAGCCTGTCATGTGTGGGGTCTGTCATGTGTGATGGCTACGCCGTTGGGATGTACAAGTTGAATGTATTGTACAGTAGTAATGCTCATGAGGAGCCTGTCATGTGTGGGGTCTGTCATGTGTGATGGCTACGCCGTTGGGATGTACAAGTTGAATGTATTGTACAGTAGTAATGCTCATGAGGAGCCTGTCATGTGTGGGGTCTGTCATGTGTGATGGCTACGCCGTTGGGATGTACAAGTTGAATGTATTGTACAGTAGTAATGCTCATGAGGAGCCTGTCATGTGTGGGGTCTGTCATGTGTGATGGCTACGCCGTTGGGATGTACAAGTTGAATGTATTGTACAGTAGTAATGCTCATGAGGAGCCTGTCATGTGTGGGGTCTGTCATGTGTGATGGCTACGCCGTTGGGATGTACAAGTTGAATGTAGTGCACAGTAGTAATGCTCATGAGGAGCCTGTCATGTGTGGGGTCTGTCATGTGTGGGATCCTTGACGACTCTGATATATCGCGAAATACAAATTTTATCGCAATGTCAATTTTCACAAACGAAAACAGAACCGACACTTTGTCTTATCTGACCGACATTTCGTGTTACAAACGGTATGTCAGCCTTCTTAGTGCACGGGTTTTGACATGACTTCAAAGAACTTTAACTGTGTAAACTGAACAAAAATATACATAGCTGACATCAGTCAAGTCAATTTACGGTTTAGCATCAAACTCTAATTGCAAAAGAATTTTACCTTACCCAGTGTTATACAGTAGGTAGAATTAGCACTTCAAATATGGTCAGAAATGTTTCCCGTATTTCCTTGTACCCAAAAATGGTGTTACAATCATTCTTTCCTGATACATGTTTTATATTTATATTGACTTATCATGGTGAAAAATAATTCTTTTACAATTCGTTTGATGTGCATTTTCAGCGCAGGTAGCTGGACTACATGGCGATTCAGCATGCAGATATAGCGAATGGTATCCAGGAGATACTATCTATAGTAATGCACTGTACGACATGATGTGACGTACCTTAAGACATACAACATGATGTGACGTACCTGTAGACATACAACAGGATGTTACGTACGTGCAGACATACAACATGATGTTACTTACCTGTAGACATACAACAGGATGTTACGTACGTGCAGACATACAACATGATGTGTCGTACGGGCAGACATACAACATGATGTGACGTACGTGCAGACATACAACATGATGTGACGTACCGGTATACATACAACCGGATGTGACGTACAAGACATACAACATATGTGACGTACCTGTAGACATACAACATGATGTGACGTACCTGTATACATACAACCGGATGTGACGTACGTGCAGACATACAACATATGTGACGTACGTGCAGACATACAACATATGTGATGTACCTGTAGACATACAACATGATGTGACGTACCTGTAGACATACAACAGGATGTGACGTACCTGTAGACATACAACATGATGTGATGTACCTGCAGACATACAACATATGTGACGTACGTGCAGACATACAACATATGTGATGTACCTGTAGACATACAACAGGATGTGACGTACCTGTAGACATACAACATATGTGACGTACGTGCAGACATACAACATGATGTGACGTACGTGCAGACATACAACATGATGTGTCGTATCTGTAGACATACAACAGGATGTGACGTACCTGTATACATACAACATGATGTGATGTACCTGCAGACAAACGACAGGATGTGACGTACTGTACACGTAGACATACAACAGGATGTGACGTACCTGAAGACATATAGCAGGATGTGACGTACCTGTAGACATACAACATGATGTGACGTACATGTAGACATACAACCGGATGTGACGTTCATGTAGACATACAACAGAATGTTACGTACCTGCAAACCAACAACTTATTGGTGTGTGTGTCATCAAAGTCGTCTATCTCCTCCAATATATCGGGTAGCTGGTCTAAACAGCGGACAGCCTTAAGACAGCACTGACGTCCCTGTGGTATGTTATAGTAGTCTGAAACACAATAAGTAAATACATTTATCACATAATGTACTGCGTTATCCAGTGAACATACTAATGTCATATTTTTTTTGCGTATTAACCCATGTAAAATGACCTTTCAGCACTGTGATTGGTTGAAAGTTTCAATAGTTTCAATTGTGACGTCACGACGAGGACATGTACATGATGTCACAGACTTACGCACTTGAGTCAAAATGGCGGCCTTTTACATATTAAGGTTGCATTAAAATTGTCGTTTTACACGAATAAATGCCACAAATCTTGATTATGTTATAAAAAGGATCTTACACTCGTTTTCATTTCATATGAAATTTATGCAACTCGTAGTCACGAATTCTTTATTTTAGCTCGCCAAAGACTCGCTTAATTGAAAAAAAAATATGTTAGACTCGTTTCATTCCTATTCTTGTCCATAATATGGGTTATTTTGCTCATTTGATACTGGTAGTTGTATATCAGCTCTACCGCCCGGCGCGCACCATATCTTATCTTCCGCGTTAACACATTTAAGGAAAGAAACACACGCCTCAGTTGCGCTTAAATTGTGCTATTCAACAACAATTTTGATGTTGTAATAAAATAGTTACAATGTGTATTTTTTATAAATTTAGGAAGCACGGTAGGACGCCGGGCTTGTGACCGAAGGGTTGCGGGTTCGATTCAGGTCACGGCACTGTGTTGTATCTTTGAACAGGATACTTTACTCCGCTTGTTCCAGTCTACTCAGCTGTAAATGAGTACGTGGTTGGGCAGTGCTAGAATTGTTGAATGCTAGCGGTTAGCGCCGAAATGCTCCACAGGGAGTTGATAAAGGTATTGGCTGGTTGCAAAGGCCATATAACCACGGATAAAAATTTGTGAACCGCTTTGAGACGACCTACGAACTAGGTCGTGATAACGCGGTATATAAGAACCTCGAATTATTATTAGGGATTTCCATTTCGGATGGAAATACCTATTGTTATTGTTATGTTTTTTCTTATTATTATTCTTATTTCCAGAATTCTTGTGGACACTCTATCTCAAGAACAAATAAAGATGTCACGTTCATATTTCAGTATGTGGTAGCGTACAACTGAAACATACAGTGCGAACAAACTCATGATCATAATGTCAAAGGTCAAGGTCAAAGTCACAGATCTAAAAATCGATCTTTTAAAACATTTTTAGAACGACCATAACTTCATAAGCGTTCGTTGTTTTGCATGAACGTTATGTGGATCTTGTAGAACTTAGTCGGGGCTAACTTTTCCCCATGACATGTTTTCAGAGAATATGTCAAGTTAAAAGCCTCGCTGTGGGGTCAAATATAGGTCAAAAATGAAAATCTCAAAATGAGTTATATTTTTATTTCATCTTAAAGGGCATGTTCTAATAGAGGTATACGTGAAAAATTTCAAAGTCGTAGCTTCAAAAATGACGAAGATATGCCACTTTGAAAAATTCGTTTTCCCGCCAAACTTCAAAATTTCCAGCATTTTACTCAAAACGCTTCTTTACTCATTAAGACACATACAGAGTTAATATTTGGTACATCCATAGTATGTAGCTTTGCCTACAAAAATAACACATATCATTGACCTTGACCTACATTCAAGGCCACAGGGGTCAAATGATCTTGTGGATACTCTATCTCAAGTACGAATATAGATACAACGTTCATATTTCAGTACGTATCAGAAGACAAGAAACGCATGGTATGCGAACAAATTCATGATCATAATGTCAAAGGTCAAGGTCACAGATCTAAAAATAGAGTTTTTTAAAAACGCTTTTCGAACGACCATAACTTCGAAAGGTATCGTTGTACTAGATAAACGCTTCCTACTTCTTGTAGAGCTTAGTCGGGGCTAACTTTTTTCCATGACATGTTATCAGAGAATATCAAGTTCAAATATAGGTCAAAAATAAAAATCATATTTTTTTTTTATTTTTTGTTAAAATATTAAAGAACAAGGTCTATTCAAGGTATTTCCAAAGTTTCATGATCATAGCTTTAAAAATGACGAAGATATGCCACTTTGAAAAATGTTCATTTTCCCGCCACAATTCAAAATTTCCAGCATTTTACTCAAAACGCTTCTTCTCCTTCATTAAGACACATACAGAGTTGATATTTGGTACATCCATAGTATGTAGCCTTCCCTATAAAAGTTATGGGTTATCGTTGTCCTTGACCTACATTTAAGGTCACAGGGGTCAAATGATCTTGTCGACACTCTATCTCAAGTACGAATATAGATACAACGTTCATATCTCAGTACCTATTAGAGGACAAGGAACACATGGTATGCGAACAAATTCATGATCATAATGTCAAAGGTCAAGGTCACAGATCTAAAAATATAGTTTTTAAAAATGTTATTCGAACGACCATAACTTCGAAAAGTATCGTTGTACTGCATAAATGCTTCATACTTCTTGTAGAGCTTAGTCGGGGCTAACTTTTTTCCATGACATGTTATCAGAGAATATCAAGTTCAAAGGCTCGTTATTGGGTCAAATATAGTCAAAAATAAAAATCTTATTTATTTTTTATTTTTTTAAAAATATTAAAGAGCAAGGTCTATTCAAGGTTTTTCCAAAGATTCAAGGTCATAGCATCAAAAATGACGAAGATTTACCACTTTGTAATTTTTGTGCGATTGTCAAGTGCTTTCAGTAATCTCAGTACTTTGATTTATATCAAGACATCAAATACACGCTGGTTATACTACATCAATTACTACGCACTCTCAATCTTAAAAGTATGGACAGTTTACATCTCTACTATAGTGGGTAAACACCAGCCTTTCTTTAGCATGGCAAACCCAACAGATATAGACACAAATCTAGGTTCAATTCATCATCCTGACGTGCATAGTGGACGGACTATATGATGACTTTTACAGACTACCTTCGCCTACAACACAGCCCATTGGCTGCCTATATGTATCCAGTCTTTCTCTGACATCATTTCGCACACTGGGAATCCCACACTACTCAGTCAGCTACTGTAGACTAGCACACGTTCAAAGGGCAATAACCCGTTACAGAACATTCAAACTACGTAGAGACTGTCGCCTTACTGTGGTCTTATTGCCGTTATCCACAAACAAGGTACATCTTCCAAACTGACTAGGCATGATAGTCAGCTTCAATATGTCCAGGAACAACTTACTCACTGTATGTTTAAATGTTTATTTTCGGTGACCAGTAAGTGATGCAGGCCAATAAACTAAGTGAAACCTACAAAAAAGGTTTGTCAGAGAAGGGAAGCAAAGGGAAGCGAAGAGAAACATTTAAAAGCGGTCGTCAGTTCGAGAACATATCTTTGATCATTTTCCTGTTGGAAATCCCGTGTTTTGATCTTCATCAAATCTAGTTATTATTATTATTATTATTATGAAAAGGGTTATCGGATATGGCCATGTCCATATCTTTTCCCGTATCAACCCTTGACCAATATCAATCCTTGGACCTCCGGAAATGTACTAGCTTAACATGTCACTTAAATTACATATGTTATAAATATATTATATTAATATAATAATATGAAATAGGTGAACCTAGTCAGCGGGCACATTATGAAAATACAGTTTTCTGCATAATTTAACTGTTTCATTTTATGTACAGTCGGTAGAATAATTAGAATCCAATCCTTGCATAATTCAATGGAGGTACCATACCATTCTATATATTATTTTTATGTTGTGCTTCTTTGGTTTCAGCTTCGTGAAATAACTACAACACTGCTAAATTCACCTGAGAAGATATCGTGATTTCAGAATGAGAAGTCATCACTGGCAGCCATTACATTATAATACAGAACAAAAATAGGCTAGGCTTTCATCAGTAGATATCAGCACACAAGGACAATCAAAAGCAAAGATATCGGCACATTGGGACAGGCATTGATCATGACTTACCATCGTCGTCACAGAATTTGGATTCCTGTAGTTCTGCTAGCGCGTGTTCGAGAGAATCTGTTTGTGTAGACCTGCCCATATCTACCTGTCAGTGTCAACTGTTGTAAACACTTACAATACGTGAGTCACCCGTCCCCCCGGGGCAATCAAACAGCATGAGGACCTTGTTAGCACAGTCATCAACATGCTTGTATCGGTATAGCTTTGTTTAACAAACGAGAATAACTGGACTAGTTCCGTGACGTCGCTTGTTGCACTTTTTATCTTTCGAGTATAATATCATCCCAGTAATTCATTTTGTAGGTTTAGGACAATGAATGGACAAAGTAGTGTGATGAGAACCGGGAATACAGTGAAACAATTCTTACAACCATGTTCCTGTCAAGTCAACCGGAAATTCACAAAAACTGTAATAGCCCAAATGTACACATAAGGAACAACAACTATGGTTAGAGACTATCCTAAAGTATGCGCCTTTTTTTCATGCATGCAAATAATTATCTCTGTAAGTTTATCTGTGTATTCCATGGTGCTGCGTAAAAATGACAGCGGCCTTGAAAGTTGTGTCATTATAATGAACGCAGTTACCTAATGTAATTTAAGGCAATCGATTACATTAGAAAATAACCACTTCCGTTTAAGCCACTACATTTCAGTAAGTACAATGTTTTTTCCTGACTTTAGAGCGAAAATATGAAAAAGTTTAAAAAAAAATCTTAATTACAATTTTGCACGGATTACCAATATCAATACGCATGCACGGTACTATCAGTTCAACTGTACACACGTGAACACGGGGAAATATTTATTGTTTGATGCATCTTTACCTCTATTCCCGCCGGTAGCCATTTATATTATATTACCTGTAAATACATGTAGTACTGTTTGTAATACTGGATATGTGACCAGTGGGTGACCAGTGGCCATGGGCGACCGTATCTTATGCAACACGAGAGTAGTCTTGTAAGATTACCTAGTTGGTACCACGCAGTACAGGGCCCGGGTCAAGGGAGAGATACAGGAACCGGAAGTACAGTGATATGTCGTCGAATCGTTAGCTCGACTGGTAACCAGGATAATTTA